TGTTTCGTTATCTTTTTTGTCGTTTTTAATTAATATTTTACGTACAATGCACATGTTATGTATTTAATGTAATTTCTACGTATTCGAATTTGGTAAATGTAATGTTAATTGTATTTTTTCATGTAAGTGTATTATCCATATATATAATAAAATTGTAACTAAGCCGAATCTGTACATTAAATATTTTTTTGGTAAATGTTATTGAAATAAATATTATTATCGATACAGAGGCCGAATCTATAGTTTTTAGAATTTTTGTCTGTCTGTGTTACCGCATCACAGAAAAACCACTGGAGGGATTTTGATGAAATTCGGTATGATGATAGCTGATAGCTGGTTAACCGGGTCAACATATAGGATACTTTTTACCGCGTGAAAATATTTCATTTCTGAGAAAAAATACAAAAACTGCAATGTAAGAGTATACTAATATGTAAAACCTAAGAATTTGGTTTTTGGTCATCTGAACGCGTGCGGAGCCACGGGCAGTGCTAGTTAAGAAATAAAGACGGCGGCGAAGGCAAACATCGTGAGGAAACCTGCATGTCTGAGAGAACCAACCTAGCAAGTTTTTAAAAGACATGTGAAGTCCGCCAACTCGCACATGGACAGCGTGATGGACTATGGATGCCTCGCAATAAAAGGAGTGCATAGCAGAGGAACGTTAAAAAGGGCTGAATATCTATTATCCATAAATTAAGGCATATGATATTATTTTTGAAATTAAATGAAAATTAACTTTATTTAATTAGATTTGTACAATCTATTGTAGTTGGTTCGTAAGGATACTTACTACCACTGGCTTGGAAGACAGTTCAGCTAAAAATAATAGACGAGAAACTCAAGAGTTGCTCTTTTAAAAACCAATTAACAGATAAACATTATTATAGCATCAACAACTTAGAGTTTATTATAAACCCTTATTATTATGAATATTTTGTACACTTGTAATTGATATGTATGTTTGTTTTTTTTTACTTTAATTATTGTATTGAATTGTTTTTAATATACGTGTTTTGTAAGTGTGCTTGCTTAATAATTAATAATTGAATAAATAAAAAAAATAATTAATCTTTACGGTGGCCATGTTTTCTTTGAAAATTCTTTCGGTTAGCAAAATATAATCAACTAGCTGCCCATCCTCGCTTCACGACAAGTTAATATTAAGAAAAAATAATATTACGTAGTTTAAATAATCAGCTAAATATTACTGAATAATCAGTTCTTCTATCTCAGTTCTCACTCAGATTAGATCATCAGATCTACTAGAAAAAAAGTTTATCGCTGTAAAATACAATAAATAAACAAACAAAGAATGGGTGTCAATAAGACAGGTAGGTATATTTTCCCTTGAAGAATTTTGGGTTTTTATTAGTGTATATATTAACTAAGGGTATTAAAGATAAAAAAATCCGGACAAGTGCGAGTCGGACTCGCCCACCGAGGGTTCAGTATAAATTTGTAGGAAATCTGTTTACCTTAAATTTTCAACTTTTTTCTTTTTTGGATTTTCCTTTATTTTTGCTGTATACCTTGGCTTTTTGCCCGTATACCTACCATATAGATTTTCGACTCAAAACCTATAGGTTACCACCTTGTCGTGGTGGGGGGGCTCAGTAGTGCCCGGCAACCTAACCGGGCGCGAAGCCAAGAAACGCACAGGAGGTGGCCCACTTCTGAGGGCGGTGTACCATGCGGGTTGCTCCTGGTACTTCTCTGATAGCAGAGTGGACCTTGGAGCAACCCCGTGGTTGTTGTGGTCTGCTTCGGCAGACCTGCCGTTGGGGCGTCGTAGTTGAATGTGTAAGCGATCCTGCGACGCCCCATTAAGACGGGGGAAGGTTTTGTTGGGTTTTAGTGGGTAGTACTGGCTTTGCCGGTGAGTCCCACATCTCGTGCGTAAATGCATTTCCCAACGTTAAAAAAAAAAGAGTTGTTAATTTTGGTTAAAAGCATGGTCTTACAGCACAAGTAAAAGGAAAATTTCGAAAAATAATAAAAAGTTGAAAATTAAAATAAATTTTGGCACTTACAAGTTTTCTCGAAAATCTAAATTTGCCTATATCTTTTTATCGTGTTAACTCAGGACCTTTATTTTCATACGCCTAATAGGGACTATAGACTGGTATAAATTTCAACTTGCTAGGTTCACCCGTTCCTGAGAAAGTCGGTGGTGACACACGGACAGACGTACAGACGGACGAGAGAGTGATCTTATAAGGATTCCTTTTTTTACCGTTTGAGGTACGGAACCCTAAAAAACCAAATAAATTGAAATACTTTATTATGTATATGACAAGAAATAATTAAATTTAATAAGGCAATTAAGTTATTAAGTTATCAAAACCAGTTAGATTATCATTAATTACTTGTGAAAATTTAAAAATGATTAATCTGAGTTTTCGCTATAAATTTTTTAGACCACAGTCTGTGACGGCGTCTAGTATGTAGTCACTGTAAGTCACTGTAAGTCACCTTTTGAGATCTTTTTTCTTTGAAGCACCTGTTTTATCCTAACTACCAGAGAATTGCAGCTACATGCGCGCAACAGCACACCACTTGCGCACCGCACCTACTTTACTACACTGGCATTGCCATCCACAGTGATGGAAAAAAGCAGTAATTATTATATTTAATCTATTTTTAAATAAAACTATCTTTTCGGATTATTTCGCGGATTTATTTTGATTTTTGGTTTTGGTTTAATCTATTATATAACCAATAATTGAACACGGATTATATCATCGTGAATCGCGCTCGGCAATTACCGCTTGCGTATAGGTACGTATGCCCATTGCCCATCATATGAGCGCACTAGACCAAAACTTTTATATATACATATATATATATAAGACGGAGGAGGATTTAGTTACCTTTTTCTGTTATGAAACCTTGTTATTGTTTAAAGTCACTATGTTCTTTAATTTACTTTTAAAGTTATTTTGAATGTAGAGCAGAGATTTAGTCTCGAGCGGGGTCGAGACGCCATCACGACATTCTTTGCAGATACGTGGTGTAGTAAAGTCGGTTGATCTTAAAGAGTTATGTTTGATATTGTAGTTGGAAGTCGATGATCGGTGACTGTGAACCCGCTAGCTCTAAATCATTAGTATTACCGTTTCAAGTTTATAACAATGTGACTTCCCTGATTAAATTGTGTATTGAGCACTGAATACTTTATTATTTGAGCCCTGATAACGCCCACAAGATGAGTAACCACTAAAGATGATGTTCGTAATATATGGATAACGCGTCATATATATATATATATATATATATATATATATATATATATATATATATATATATATATATATATACACTATACTACGTTATATATGTATAATACAGTGTTGGGAAATTGCGCTGATGACAAAACATATATAAAAAATAATATTGATTTTAAGAAAAAAATCGCTATAATACCCTATTTCAAACTATAAATGAAAACGAAAATAATTATGAAAGGTAATAAATATTATCCAAAAATACACAGAGTATATAGTATAATATTAAAAAATATATATTAATAGGGTTCTGTGATATTATTTAATTTTCCGTGATTTATTCTACTAACATTATAAACGCGAAAGTTTGTAAGAATGTATGTATGGATGTATGTTTGTTACTCTTTCACGCAAAAACTACTAAATTGATTTTGATGAAACTTTACAATAATATAGCTCATACATCAAAATAACACATAGACTACTTTGTATCCCGGAAAAATATATGGTTCCCGTGGGATAGATTTGTTTTTGTTTGTCTAGAGGCGAACCTGAGCGAAGCATGGTTGAGCCGCTCGTCCCCTATTATAAGTTACTTAGGTTATTGACACCTATCCTTTTCTCTTTATAATATTAGTATAGAAGTATAGATGGACAATAAATATTGTTGTTAATTAAAACGAAAAGTATAATATTACTTAATTAAATAAGAGATTTAAAGAGGAACCTTTGTGACATTGCTAACCCCTACCATCTATTTTTTTTTCCTAATTTAGTTGTACACAATGAAATGGGTTATATGATCTATGCTAATATGTAAAAAAGTTTCGTTTGAAAGCGGGCGGAACCGTGGGCAATGCTAGTCTACTTATATTTATCTTTTAGATCAAATTCAGTTAATATGTTGTCTAGAGCTGAAGTTACAACTTGAGCTTGTTTTAATCAGATAAATAGATTATTTTTTATATCAAATTCACAAAAAAGTATTCATATTATAGACATGGCTATGACAATTTTAAGTTACAGTTATTAAGATATGGTAAGTTCAAACAGATGAAATATTTGTGTGAAGCTGGAATAATTTTGGTAGCGAAAAATCTAAAGAAAAATTATTTTTTTCCGCCGACGTTGACAAAGAGACACTCAGTCATGATGCAGCTGTCACAACACGACCCGGTTTCATGTCGTGAAATCACAAAAGGTTGAAAGTTTTCTATTTTTATCTTTAAAATTGCAGGAAAAAATATCCCATTCATTCATTCAACCAGTTTATGACTTTCAAAAGGACACTGACCACGCGTTTGTAAAGAAATGTGTACAAACATTCCTATCGTGCAGCGAGATTTAAAATATTGTAACAATATACCAACAGAAATATTTTTAACTCAAATACCTTTATAAAAATCTGCCAACTTTGAAGAAATATCTTATATTCTCAGTAATTTTTAATACTATCTCTCTAACTCACTTAGGTTGACTGGAAGAGATCTCTTCTAGATATAAGTCCACCTTTGCTAACTAATTTTATTGTTTGTTACTCTCTGTATATTACATATAAGTGCAATAAAGAATAGTATATAATTAATATTATGTAATGAAACAAAATATTGAGCTTTACTTATATATATTTAACTTTTAGCAAAATATTACAGCACTATACTATTTTATAATAAATTACAACATATCTTATAACAATAATTTACGCACTAAAACTATATTATTACAATATAATGTTTATAATACTCGTTGCTACTACATGAAACCATAAAATTAATCAAATTCCAATTTCTTAAACGATCCCACAAGGTATTCTTCTTCGAAATCTCCAGGCCTATTCTTTTCATCAGAAATTAGTTGACAATACTCTATTAGGCAATCCTTTGTTGGGCCTTTTCTTATTTCACGCAGATACAGTTCTAAAAAGATACAATTTGTTATAGTTTTTTTTAATACGACTTAGATTGCTTTAATATTTACTACTTTAGATTATTTTGTACAGTTTAGACAAATCAAGTTTTTTAGTGATGTTATAACATATTTAAATTAAATTTGCAATTTTTAAATTATTGAGTGATCGTCTGTGTCTTTGAGTGTACATCACGAAAGAGTGGTTGGACAAAGTGTTATGGGCTTATTTATTGTAAGTACAGGACTTAGCATAAATAAAAGAAAGTTGATAAATTTCATTTTAGTCCGTCAGTTAGTTCCTAAGATATAGTTTTAAATATATGTTCAGCGCGCCTGTAATAGTGGGCATAAATATCGTTTGACCGATTTAGGCCGCTGCAGCAAATCTCACTGACACTAGCCAAGTATGAAGGTACTATGGTGAACAAGTGCATTCTTTATTCCTGTCACTCTTCTACTCATGCATAGGACAGACGGTTTTACGTGCTCTCCCAGGCACGAGATACTTCCGCTAACTTCCTAATTCAAGGTGAGATAGAATTTCTTGGCACAAAAACTTAATATCTCAACTTGGCTCGTTCCGGGACTCGAACACAGGACTTTCAAATCAGCCGTAGGCATTAATTAGTGGTTAAAATAAATATAAATAAAAAGGTGTACGGAGCCGCAAGCAATAACTATGTAAATATGAAAAAAATGAGCGCATAACACGAAACCTATACATACCCTTAAACTCATCTAAAGATGGTTGCTCTCCACCATAGTCTTTGGGCAAATAGGTTTTCGGAATGTGTGCTTGTAGTTCCTCTATTGTTCTGTGAACTACCATTCTTCCCACTATTTTCGGTTTGACGAATTGTTTGACAAAATTAAGGAAAGCTTGACTAAACGACGTCGCGTTTATTACATGGATTTCATAAATCCTGAAGCCAACCCCATCCTAAAATAAAGAATAGTATGTTTTATTTCAATATAAGCCAGTGAAGTCGTAGACTTTAGCTACGCGATAAGTTGAAATATGTATATTTTGATTACAGTATTTTCGGTGTTTTGATTAGCTCACAAGACAAAAAATATTAATATTATTATAATATTATATTATGATGCAAGTAGTTATTAAATATTACAATCAGTACCCATTTACATATATATTAATGTGAAAAAAATAGGTAAAGTGCGAGTTGCACTCGCAGCAATGAGGGTCTCGTACGACCAATATAATATTTGAATTTTATTAGTTTATTTCATTATTATTATTGTGATCACAACAAGTACGCCAACCAAAATTATATATATAAATATTATCGTTTTATGTTTTATATATAAACCCTTAAAATATCTTCTGTATGATCAGCTCCTGGGTGTCAAACAGTTACCCGTGTTGCTACAGATCTTCTTTTTTTCGTTGTAGCGCCTATAGAATAACACTGCGACCATCCTGGTATATGGTGATCGCCAGATCATCGCCAGAGATCGCCATGCAGAGATTGCCAGATCATTGTCTGTACTCTGTGTACTATATATTTCATATAAATCCGACCAGCCGTTTAAGCGTAAACAGGTAATAGACACAAAAACTTTCGCTTATATAATTATAGCAGTCCGTAAAAAATTAAATAAATACAAACAATTATAATAACTCACCTGTATAATATTTACGAATTTCTGGAATGTTAGTAAATTAAATTGCAGTAAGTGACCTATTGAAGCGTTTTGCAAATCGAAAATCCAGATATCTCCTAACATGTAATCGTACTTCAGTCGTAAATCTCCCAGCTGAAATAAAAATTAAGAACTAATACATATCCTCCAAAAAAAGTAGCTGATTAAAATTATAGAACGCTATAGTATGTTTGTACCTATTGTATACCTAAAAATTATGTCTGCACCTAAATCTAGAATGATTCAGTTCAATTAGGTACAAGTTTAATAAACTTATCATTTCGATTTAATGAAATATTAACAAAAATATCTTTCTAAGTATTAAAACAAAATATGCTCCAGGTGAGGCTCGAACTCACAACCCCGGCATCGCTCACGAACACTGACTTATAAGTACCGTGCGCTAACCAATTGCGCCACTGGAGCTTATCTATTTAGGGCTCGATTTTGATAGGGTTTCAAAAATAGGGTACCATCATGATTAGATTCTTTATGTATAAATTTATGTTTTTATCGCTCGATTTTGATAGGTTTTCAAGCACAGTACTTCTAATCTCATGATGAGATTGCTGCTTTACATTTACATAATAAAACTACTTATATTTTTTGCATCTAAAGATCAAGAAGATAAAACATTTTTGTCTATGGACGAATATTTTAATTGTTTTGAAGTAATTAGTTAACTATGTACGAAGTAACGGGTAAAATCTCGGCTGGTTTTATTTATTTTATTTTTTGCTTATAACGTTAATTATTCTTTTATGTAATTAAAAAAAATATTGACACAAAAAAGTCATCTTCCATCTTAAAACTATGTAGTATATATACATTATTATACGTACATACATTGTACATGATATATTTTATATTTTAGCTTTAAATTTATTTCTTGCGCATGTGGAAAATAAAACCTCTTTCGTTTTATTACTAAGGAGAAGTACAGTAAAAAAATATAAAAACGTTATATTTGTAATAATTAAACAACGTTAAATACTTATTTTTTTTAATATCAAAAACTAAAATATAATTAAATTATTTTGACTTAGAACTTATTTATATTAACAAGAAATATAATATATATTACTATTTCCATAGGTGATTAAAATTGGTGAGATTAGCAGAATAACTGTTCTATTCATTTGAACTTGCTTCATTCTCTTTTTAATTGGATTTTATTATGTACTAGGTTTTTTTCTGTATATTTTATTTTCCATTTGATTTTTAGGTTGATATTTGTTTTTATTTTTTAGTACCATTATTTAAACCTATACGCCATAGATTTAGGTAGTTAAATATATGTAAAAAAGAGCCCATGGGGGCTCAATCTTTTATTACAAAAATATTCATTAACAATATAAATACATATTTTAACAAATAGACATTTTACAAAAATATAAGACCTAATTTATTTATTGAATTCATCTACAATCACAATCAACACTTCACCAAAATTGGTTCAGACATGTGTAGACTTATTATTTTTAAATTAAAATTATTGATGTAATAAATCGAAATTTGAAAATATCCATATGTGATATGGTTTCATGTTAAAACATGTGAATAAGTTTGAATTGAACGCTGTTGCTGGTTATTGGTTTTTATCTGGAGTGCTAGTGTGTATGTAATGTCTAATTATGCATCAACAAACTCTCTAGGTTCTATCTAGTTATCAACTTTATTACACTTCTTAAAGTGTTTTATATGCCTGTGTGTTTTGAGTTCTTTGCAATAGATTCCAATACTTTATATCTATACATATAATAAAATTCTAACTGAGTCGAATCTGTACACTATTTTTTGGAAAATCTATAGTTTTTAGAATTTTTATCTGTCTGTCTGTATGTCTGTGACCGCATCACGGAAAAACCACTAGAGTAATTTTGATGAAATTTGGTATGATGAAAGCTGGTTATTTGGGTCAACATAATACTTTTTACTGTGGGAAAACATTCGATCTCTGAGAAATCTTTTTTACTAAGCGTTAAAACGTAACTAGAGACAAATCTGAGCGATATTATAAATTTAAATTATAAATGGTTCTCTATTAATTAATTAATTTATATAGTGTTAATAAAGAGCTTAATACACGAAAATAAAATTATAAAAATTTAATTTAAAGTATAAAGACATTTTTTTTTGTTCGCATAAAAATTGAAACGAGAAAGAACGTATCTAAAAGAACTTGTTTTATGATTAGTTTACCTTTAGTTACGAGTAACTACCTAAATCTATGGAGTATAACCTTACATTGTGTTTTTTTTTACTTTCTGAGAATTGTTTTTGCTAATGTATATATGCACGTCGTCAATTCTATTCATATGCAATATAAAAACTATATGTTTTCTCAATAAACAAATAAAGTTATTAGGTATTTTTTTTTAAAGTACCTGTGTATGCAATTCACGCATGGTAGAAATGAAACTTCAGAAAAGTAACCTACGAAAGAATGAAATGAATATAGAGTCAGCCCTGGGTTTACACTAGGGGCACTCGGGGCTAAGGCGGCAAATTTTTAGGGGCGGCAACATTCGGAGGGCGGGAAAAAAATTCTTCGCGTTATCGAAAATGTTTTTTTTTTTTATTTTACAAAAAGTGAATAATAAAAAACGATAAACTAGTTATATTTACAAATTATTTCTTATGCATTTTTGAAAAAAATCGATAATAGGACGACATTTTTTACTATGCCCAGGGGCGGCACTAAAGTTAAATCCGGCACTGTATAGAGTATCAGTAATAGGATAATTATAAGGTTTTTTTTTTTCATAATATATTTAACAAGTTTAAAATTTATTTTACATTTTATTTGACATGAATATTATTACATATGTATTTACTATTCTTTATTGCACCTAAAAATCAATACAGTACTTAATCAATTTTCAATCATAATAGTAATTTAAATACAATTATTGTTGGCAAAGGTATTTACATATTACTCAGTAATTATTTTTTTTTTTACTTCCTGTGTAATGTATTCTATCTTAAATAATAATTAAATAAGGCATATTAGGCATATTACAGTCATATATATAAATATTCTATAAGAATAGCATATACGGAAAGAATATAATATTATTTATTTGTCAGACAATAACAACGGTTCCCATGGCAACATGGTAATGTACTCTATCTCATTCTCTTGCCGGCTTAATCCTATATATTTATGTGTTTGTCTCTTTTTATTTCTTTTTCATCGAGTTTCAAATCACAATGGTTCTAAAGAAGTTTCACTTTTAAAATCAATTTACGTATTAATTGGAATAATGAAATGGATGATTAAGTCTTACTACCTTACCTACAGTCTACCTTACCTATATATGTCACTTACCAAGAGTTAATAGGTAAGTGACATAAATTAAGTAAGTTATAACGCTACACTATAGTGTATAAAAGGTAATTTATTCTCTATATAATTACTTAAATAATAAATTTTTAAGCAATTAATATGTAATCAAAATTATCATAAAAATAATATTATGCTCAAAATTTACGTTTTTATGTAAACTTGTGTTCGCCGAGTGGCTGAAATTCGACGATAACCACTATTCAGAATTTGAGTAATACATATATGAAAAGACTTCACCTATCTGTATAAAAAAACTAATTCTTTGCAATTTTTTTTAATGATAACACTAAAGCTAGTTAATAGCTATGAATAAAAAAAAAAGAAACTGGGGTGACAACACATATGTAATATGTATGTATTTAAAATTATATAATATGTGTAGTGTGTCAACTATCTGGTATTCATAACACAAGCCATAGCTTACCATGGAACTAGATGGTGCTGTGTGTTAATGTCCCAACATAAAAAAGAGGAGACAAAGGCATTGAACTTCTTTGCCTATTAAATATATATGTATAAGCGATAAAATATATATCCATCAGTTTCAAAATGGAGGAGTTACTCCATTCGTCTGTATTTTTGTGTAGATGTTACATATTATCTTTGCCAATTGTTAATCAATTTTCATAATTCTTTTTTAATAAGATTTGTAATGTAGGGATTGTGTTGTTCCCATGTCATTTAAAAAAATCCACGAACCGTATATAATCATGTTTTATTTTATTCTGACTAATAATAATTGCATTAAAAAAACAGATATGAAACATAATTTACGAAATATTTTAAAATATGACATACCATTACAGTGTTCTTCAACATAACATCAATAATCACTTTACTCGCGTTTGGTTCTGTTAACTTAAACACGGAAATTCTCTTCCCATTGTAAAGTTTCAACATGGCGGCTTGACGACTGCAAAAAACATATGTAATTAGATTGTATCATTGTCATTTTCGTAAATATTTTCTTACGCAATTTTAGGTATTTCATCATCCTATTAAAATAACATTATAAGGAATATGCTCTTATTCTGCATATTACTCTTGACCAGCGTATTGTGTTTGACTTTATAATTCGCCAAATAAGGCAATGGGAATCGAACCAGCCACGACCTTCATAATGGGCAATGCTAACTCCTCAACCTTAAGTATAAGCAATATATATGTTTAAAGAAGGTCAATAGCAAAAAAAAATCTTCATAAATCTAGTCGTCCATCATAGTAAATGAGTTAAAATTACGAGTAATTCGTTAGCATTTCTTATTTTCCTAATAATATATAATTATTTCCTCTCATATGAAATTGACGTTGTATATGAAACGAGCAAAATGAAAAAAATATATGACGTTATATATTATATTATATACATCAAAGTATGTACCATTGTTATCTATGCACTTTCATCATTTTATAGGTTTCCTTTGCTGAAAAAATTGTGGGAGCAAGAATCAATAAAATCTCTGAAGGTGGTTTAGACTGCCTCATCGGAATTGATTTTTTTTCCTTCCATGAAGTTGGAACAAGTGGTAATCTGTAGGGCCATAGTTCGGGAAGTACGGTGAGTGCCGGAGACATTCCAATTGCAGCTCCTCTAATTTAGCCACCGTCTGTTGTGCAGTGTGGGGTCTAGCGTTATCAGTGAGTCTCGGTGGTAGAACGGCTAGCTTTTCCATCATAATTTGCAATTGTTGACAATACCGATCTACCGTAATCGTTTGACCAGATCTTAGGAAGTTTAGCAAGACTCAAAATAATTCATATAATTCAAATAAGTTAGTTTATTGGACGACACCAGTACTGGCCCACCAGTCACTTACCAGTCAGTACCTTTTCCTGAATCAAGTGTTATTTGGTGCAGGATTTGGCCGATTCTCCTGAGTTGAACCATTGTGATGAGCGTTTCCGATTATCGTACAGGATCCATTCTTCATCACAAGTAACGTACGATTCAAAATCCCTTCGTTTTTGTGGTGGTTAAGTAATGTAACGCAGTACTCGACGCGTGTCTGTTGGTGTGCTTCACTCAATTCATGCGGTACACATTTTTCGGGATTTTTCACTTTTCCAATTTGTTTCAAGGAAATTAAAATTATTTTATCACTAACACTAAAGCTTGCCGCTAACTTTGATGTGGTTTGCAATATATCCGCTTTCACGATCACATTTAATTCTTCATTGTCAACAAGGATTTCCGGCCGTCCACTGGGTTTGTACTGTAGGCCAAAAATTCCAGAACGAAAACGTTGGAACCAAAAACTTACTGTGTTTTCTTTTAGTGAAACTCGTTTTAGTACATAACGCTATATTTTAAGTTTTCCATATTGTGAACAGAACGATCTCAAAGAAAAATCAAATGGTGTTTAATACAAAAGCCTAAATTAGAAATAAATGTGAATTTAGAATTCCGAACCAAACGCCAGATATTTGAGTACAAAGTGTTCGACAAAACGCCAATATCATATGTAAGAACCAAAACTTGACACTACTTGTTTTGCTCTGTTAACGCAATTCCAAACCCTTACATAAAAAATATTTTTAAATCATTCTAAAATTATAATGCAAAAATTAGTAGGTTTCATTTTAAAAGTTTTACAAACTAATCATTATACTTGTGTTATATCCTGCCTTGGTTATTGGAGTTGAATTATTGCATTTTATTAATATTGAATACATTTTTATTAATTTTGGCATCTCTGACAGGCTAGACTATGGTATTTATGATGAGATGAAATAATAATATACATTTTCCAATTTGGCTACAATATACTTAAAAATATGAAAATATTCCACAAAATAAAATGTTGGAAGACTTATAGATACTTACTAAGTGATCCATGGATCGTAATTAGGGTCATCGAGGTCTTGGATTCTTTGTTGCACAAGTTCAGGTGCTAGGGATCTATACTTATAGAAGTTATCGATTTTACGCTTCGCTTTTTCTTGTGAGCCTTTTGTTGAAATTAATATTTTTTCTACGTAGTCACGATCTAGGATAAAAGAACAATTATTTAGTTAATTTACTTATGTTTGAGTCATAAAAAAAATTTATTTCGATTTGTTTTGTGGCAGTGATTTGTTCACATTCTACAATTATATTGAAAAATGGAAAATTAAGTATAAAGTATGAACGATGTACCTATTCTCTTTCTGCCAAATACTTTTTACTTACATATACATAATATTTCACATTTTTTTATCTATACTAATATTATAAAGAGGTAAAGTTTGTGACTTTGTGAGATTGTTAGTTTGTGATGTTGTAGGAGGTAATCTCTGGATCTACTGAACTGATTTAGATGAAATTTGGTAAGAAGATATTTTGAGACCCTGGGAAGGACATAGAATACTTTTTATCTGGAGAATCATCCCGTAGGAGGGTAAATATGGGGATGAAAGTTTTTATGGGGAATCAACCTAGAAACGAACACGAGCGAAGCGAGGGTGAGTCGATAGTAATATATAAACTCTTAAAATGTATTTTTTTTACAAAACTAAGTATTATAATATTTATACATACATATATATAACGTTCAAAATTCTAATAAAAAATTAAATGATGTTTTGTATATAATGACGTAAAACATACGTCTTCTACTACAATTTTATTTCTACTAAAATACCGTGGACCTATCATCCTTTTTTCGTTTAATTTACTTAGTACCTATTTTCGTACAGTTTTGTCGAGGAACTAAATTAACATTCTGTAAGTTTGAATAATGACCCAAGAATTAAATAATAGTACTAAGATTTTTTTTATTGATGAATTTTTTTTGAGCTATGTTTTTGGGGATGGTTAGTTTTTTTATATGATTAATGATGATTATGGTCAAATTTAGATCACAATAAAAGAGAATTATTTTTAGTCTTGCTAAGCTCTTGCTTCATTCGCCATTTTTTAACGAGAAAGACATTTTTTTCGTACAAACTCATGATTTTAAATTTAATTTATTGTAACATGTTTTTTAATTGTATTGAATTGAATCTCACTGGAAGTACTTGAAGGTGTGAGATAAATAATAGGTATATATTCAACATTATCACGCTATCCATGCTATGAATACTTGCGTGCCTAATTTTATGAGTTTTAAGCTCTATATTTACTATAAATATATTGTAAAGAAGAAAAAAATATGTGTTTAATTTTTCAATCGATAAACTCTATAACTAAAGCTGAATTGATCTCGACAATTATTACTCCATATATTTACTTTACATGAAATGTAGCTTATTTTATTTCAGTAATAAAAAATACAGCGTGTATTTTAAAGAAATTTCTAAAATAAAACTTACCTATAGGTGCGTGTGCTAAGTGTGGCTGTTTTTGAAACCATTCAATTATCGCATCTATATCTTCTTGTAAGATACTGTCCTTAAACCCAAGCTCCTTCCGAATTAAAAGACGATCTTCTTCTGTGGTTTGATAGAAAGGATGTTGACCTACTATGTGCATCTGTAAAAATATATTAATTTAATATACGTAATATATGTGGCTTTCCAGCCCAGACTTCGCCAGCATGGTGGACTATTGCATGATCTCCCTCATATTGAAGGGCGTGCCCAGCAGTAAAACGTTAAAAAGGACTGAATACAATATAGGTTTACTTTAAAAAAAACCTAACTACTGTAAAGGCTTGATAGTTATCTATCTGATAAAGATACTGACTATCCTTTTACTCAGTTTCCTCTCTAGATGTTTTTTTTTATTTACAATATCACTAGCGACTTACACTCGCTTCGTTCGGGTTCGTCCCGATTATCTATAGTTTTATAATAAATAATAGAATCGGCCCGATTTGTTGCGATTTAAGATTACTGCTCCACTTCCTTTGGTAGTAGCATGATGATATAAAGACTCTCAATAAACGGGCTATCTAATGCAAAAAAAAAAATTAAATCATATTAGTAGTTCCTGAAATTAGCGCATACAAACAAACAAACTAAAATTAGTATAGATATACAAGCAGCAAATCTTTTACCGATTGCTATTACTAACTGGTGCCTATGTCTCACTTCAGCTTATAGTTTATACTTGTACTTAATAGTTTCATTTAAATGCCTCCAGCCATTTCAGAGTGACAGTATCCAATGAGCATATACATACTTTTGCATTTTCTTTTGCTGTGTATTGGCTGGCACCGACTTCGAAATTATTTGATTAGGTATGTATAGTAAATGAAACTACCAATCAGTTATTTTTTACTTTTTATGTTTTTATCTTTTTGTTAAAAAGTTTTTATTATTAGTGCCATTATTAAAGCACTTAATGTGCATAAAGTAATTTATGCTATCATGGTAGGATGTTTTTAATGTAAAGTTTCATTAAAAAAATACAGATTATCAATCTTAAAATAATTTGAATGATGCATATTTAACGTTCAATTTTTGTAAAAAATAAAATTGCATTGTTTAATTACGATTAAGAATAAAATCTTGTTATTGTATTAAGGTACAACACATTTCCCATACAAACTTAATTGGTCCTTAATTCTTAGATTTACGCAAATATTTAACATCTATACATATAATAAAATTGTAACTAAGCCGAAACGAATATATTTTATATTTTTCTTTATGGTTATAAATATAATACTGGCAACACTAAATATAGATTACTAATTAATATTTTAAAATTGTAATAATTATAAAAATAATAGCAAAAATTAAATAAATAATTTTCCATATTCAATTATAATTAAAATTATAAAAATGTTTTAAAGTTAAAAATATTGTAATTAGTAATTAGTAATAGTGTAATTGGTGCATTTTTAATTTTGTTAATTGTGGGTAGGCTGTCTGTAACAACTATACATTCAAGACATGTAACACCTCAGTCTCTCCCGTGACCATGGATGCTGTAAAGCATTCGAAACGTCGGGAACCAAAAATCAAAATAAATCCGCGAAATAATCCGAAAAGATAGTTTTATTTAATAATGTCAAACATTCGCGTAAATCTAAGAAAGTATTAAGCCGAATCTGTACATTAAATATTATTTGGGAAATATTATTGAAATAGATATTATTATCGATACAGAGGCCGAATCTATAGTTTTTAGAATATTTGTCTGTCTATCTGTCTGTCTGTCTGTCTGTTACCGCATCACGGAAAAACCACTGGAGGAATTTTGATGAAATTGGGCATGATGATAGCTGGTTATCTGGGCCAACATATAGAATACTTTTTACTGCGGGAAAATATCTCATTTCGGAGAAATCTAAAGCTAAAAAGTAAGTAGGGACGAATCTGAGTGAGACGCTAGTTTTAAATAAAACTATCTTTTCGAATACTTTGGCGGATTTATTTTGATATTTGGTTCCCAACAATCATGGTTACGTGACAGACTGAAAGTGAGTCTCTCCCTCTCTAATTGCAGGTGCTTAGTAGTTAGTACTAAATAATCTATACATACTCGTATAATAAAATTGTAACTAAGCCGAATTTGTACATTAAATTTTTTTTTTTGAAAATCTTATTGAAAGAGACATTATTATCGATACAGAGGTCGAATTTATAGTTTTTAGAATTTTTGTCTGTCTGTCTGTCTGTCTGTCTGTTACCGCATCACGGAAAAACCACTGGAGGGATTTTGATGAAATTTACTTTTTATCGCGGGAAAATATCTCATTTCTGAGGAAAAAATACAAAAACTGCATTGTAAGAGTGTACTAATATGTAAAACCTAAGAATTTGGTTTTTGGTCATCTGAACGTGAGCGTAGCCGCGGGCAATGCTAGTAATATATAATTTAATGTTATCGAACCAGAATGAGATACTCAAAAAAATCTTGATGAAAATATTATCTAACGAAACGAAAAAAGTTAGTTATTTCTTGGAAAAATATACGATAGAAAAAGGTACTATTGTAGCTTTTAAGAATTTTATTATTGGTTTAAAGTTGGTCCGAATAAAAGATCCCATTTATTTCTCAAAGAAAAAGAAATATTAAATAATCACAGAAGCAAGAATACGAATTGCGTTTACTTCCATCAGTTTCTTCCATTAGGAGTTACATTGTTCAGTTGAACGCAAGATTAGATTCTGATCCGCTTGGTAATATTGTACAGGACAATGTAAATTGTACATATATAAATAAAACTGATGAGTTTGTTTTATTGTTTGTTTGTATGCCCTAATCTTTGGAAATCCATCTAAAGTAAGCTATAACGAATAATTTACATGGGCCAAACTACGGGCAAACGCTAGTAGCTTATGAAGTCACTAAAATTAAATTAAAAGTTTAAAAAAAGCGACATGTTATTCGTCATTTTTTGTTGGCGGCCATCTTGGACCGATTTTCATAAAACATATAAACATAGAACACTCCCGATTAATTCACCTTTCAAACAAAAAAAATCAAAATCGATTCTTCCTTTCGGGAGCTACGATGCTACACACAGACACACACAGACACGTCAAACTAAACACCCCGTCGTTTTTGCGTCGGAGGTTAAAAAGCAAATATTTAAATAGAAACTTCATTTTTTTGTATTTTTTCGCGGATTTATTTTGATTCTTAGTTCCCGACATTTCAAATGCTTTAGAGTAATCATGTTCACGGGAGTCATTAATGTTTTAGACGTCTCAAATGACATTATTTAGTTTTTAAAGACAATGTCTACCCACAAAATTACAAAATGATATCAAAAAATACATAAATGTCACCAAAGTACCTTACAATATTTGTTAATTGTCTTGGTTTTTTAAACCTTATTTAGTGTTTACTTTTTCTTCAGATTTATATATATACGAGTATATATAGGAAATCTAATTGAAATAGACATTATTATCGATACAGAGTTCGAATCTATAGTTTTTAGAATTTTTGTCGGTCTGTCTGTCTGTCACCGCATCACGAGAAAACCACTGGACAGATTTTGATAAAATTTGGTATGAACGCGGTTTGGTATGAACTGAACGCGTACGTATTTTTGCAAGGTATTTAATGAACATATTATAGGTATTATAAACAAAAGTAAAAGACAATGACTTACATAGAACAACATGAATATTGACTTTGTTGTGTTTATGTGTTTATTGTGTGTTATGAAATTTCGATAGATTTATCGATAAATTAGAAAAAAAATATGACCTGAAAAAGTTTGCTTTTGTATCTAGGAGAACTGTTGATCAATATTTTAATTTTTTAATTTTTACATAAATCGATCAAATATATTTATATACGTATACATTTTTATTAACTTTTAATATCATATCAAAATTCAAAAAAAATATAAAAATTTACAAAATATTAGAAAAAAAGTTTAATAGTGAACTATATTACTTTTTTTCATGTTTATAAGTACTTCCTCTCACTAAGCCCCAAATCCCATCATATTTTCGTTGTATTTACCCCGATAACATTGTTCAAAGTCCATTATGTCTTGATGAAAACGTTCTCCTTTTTCTTCTGAATTGAATGAATTCGCGGTAACTTTTTAAGGAATATGGATATTTTCCCTTTATTTTTAATCATAATGAATAGATAAATCATAAAATAAATTTTAGGACAAAGACTATTTATTTTTTGTACAATTTTTTATTCATTTTAGTTTGTAAATTTAATTATTTAATTATTAAAACCTTAAATTTTAAGTAAGAAATGAAGAACATATTTTAAACAAATAAAATAATTAGAAAAATCAAAAGCTAGAGAAGCTTACCTAAAGTCCCGAGTATACACAAACTTATTTTAAATTTTAAACCACAACTACTTATTGTATATTTAGTTTATTATTTATAATAACCGTAATTGTTATTTCACTGCAAACAATTCCTTACCTTGAAAATGTTAAAAATCAGCTTCTTTATTTATAACGCTCAGCTTGTTTACACAAAGACGCGCTTGTACATACTATTTCTTGAGATATGATCGCGATCTTTTAAAACCTAAGCTGTTAATAAAAAAACGAGTTTCGTTCGGCCTTCTTTCATATCATAACGTCAATTTAAATATTATAAACAAGTAAAAAATACAATGTGAATTATTATAATGTGTATGCATGAACTTGAAATAGTACCTATAGGTAAAGAAAGAAAAAAGTGCTAAATTTTCTTTAAAATCTGTGAATATGTACATTTCTACTAATTATAATTAATATAAGTTATACTAACTTTATAATCAGTTCATGTCGACTTTATTGTGGATGACTAAAAGCGTGAATAGATTTTTATGGGATTTTTTACTCTATGATTAAAAGTTAGAATTAAGTGTACAGAGGTGCTTTATTTCAACCAATTCGAGCTTTTATATAAAACCAGTTTCCCCTTTGTTGGTAATAGATTCAATAGGAACATCTATGGAGCTAAAGAGTATAGTGCAATTATATAATAATAATATAACTAATCATTACTTCATAATTCGTTGAATCTAGTATATAAAGCGGAAGAGTTTGTTCATTTGTATGAACGCACTAATCTCTTGATTTTTGGTGCAATTCAAAGAAATATTTT